TTCATTTGGCGTCTAAAAATTCACTTGGAGCAGGTATTTTCTGTTTTCTGGTTGATATTTTCGCGAAATATTTACGAAAACCTGCAATTTTTAAAATATAGACTGTGGTGCAACAATTCTAGACATCATTTTTCAGTAATATCTGTTCTTTTCGTTTCCTGAAATGTGTTTTGTGCATGCACACAGACTCTTTATAAAATTTCGTCATATTTTATAGTTAAAGCGCTCACATTTATTGAATTTTAATGCAATTATCCACTTTTTAATAATGTCCACAGATTTTATGCAAAAAATACTGATTTTTATGCAATTTTAATGCAAATATTAACTTTTTCACTAATTTTTACCCATAAAATGTAAACAAACAAGGCGTGCACAACGATTAGCAAACGATAGTGCCGTACTTATCCGTTTCTGCATCTTCTACGATTTGCCGATAACTAGCCGATAACGACAAGTGTGCAGATCTCCTTTGAAATGCATGTGATCGGCTCAAAATTTCAGGGCGAGGCGATAACGCAACTATGATTGGACGAAGAGTTTAGGTTCAGTTATTAAAGTTTTTCTTATACCAATCTTTGAAAAAAGTTAAAAAACAGCATAAAAAATCTCATCATAACGATTCCGATCAAAATTTTTTTAATTTTTTTAAATATTTTTATGCAAATTTTTTAAGCTTAAACCGTTTTGTCATTTGAGGGGATTTTTTCAAAAAAAAATCTTTAAGAAACTATTTTTATTCATAAACCACTTCATTTTTAGAGGTATTTTCAAATCGGTCCAGCTTACGTAAATCTTATAATTTTTCCGAAATATTTTGGTGGACGTCTTAAAATATAACAGACTTTATAATTCCAATGGAAAAATAGAACCGATTTTTTTTTGTTTTGTATGGGGAGCGATGCAGTCTAATGTACATACGTATGTATATAACTACGCATAAAAACTATGCTGCTATGTTGCGGGTTCACCGTTCGTGTTCGAATAACTTTTTATTTGCTCTGAAAACATTTTTGCCGTTCAGTTCGGCACATTTTATTTTGTTCTGAAGCAAACAGCTGATGATATTGTTGCCCATATGCGATTTTGAGGGCAAATAATACATGCAATTCGCTGCAAACGCATATAAAGGAGAATGCGGCAATTCGAATCATCAAGTCGTTTGGACAAAAAAATTTAAATCAGTTTGATTCGAACAAAGCAAGGCGTATTTAACAAGGTGGTGTTGGCCGTATATAAGTAAAAAATTACACTAACAAATTATACGCTGATGTCCATACTGTCATTGGTACGAGCAACCCTTATTTATCTATACCAGTGCTCGGCGCTTCATACCACAATCAGTGTTACCGTTTTAGCCCTTTGGTGGCTAGATTAAGCTACCACATACTTTTTTGGACACATAAATTCAAAATTGCCCCTAGCCCTTTTTTCTTTCATCTTGAATTATATAAACTTAAAATAAGTCATACAGTCCACTTAGATAAATTTCTCATTCATTCCTAAATTGTTACATACATACGGGTCATTCCATCTCAAATCACCCACGCCCACGCCATATTTGTAATGCTTCCATTTAAACATCTTTATGGAAAAAAAGTTTTTTGTGCAGAATTGCTTGTTTACGAAACGCTTGGCCTAAGTTGAAATCATAGGGACGCCGTTTTCTTCCATTTCTCAGTGGATTTTATACTTGAAAAGGCACCAAAATATGTATGCAATATTTCTACATATCGTCGTTTAAAGTACAAAACCGCGCATCAAGAAAATGCAAAACCTCGTATGTGAAAATATAGGCTTATTTTTACTTAAATGTGATATAAAGCTCATTAAAATGTTCTGTAATGTCTTGTTTTAAGTTTGTTATCATAGCTCTTTGTATTTTTATTGTCCACTAAACGTGAGTGGCTTCTATTTAAAAAGTTCTAGTACAAAGAATTTCTTTGTTTTGAATTTGTTTGTTTATTGTTTTTAATTTTTAAAATTCATACTTTTGACATGTATGTGAATGGTGGAGTTGCCGCTTTCCTCCTTTTTCGGTGGGTTTTTATATTAAAAAGGCATCAAAATGGGAAAAAACCTCCTTGGTATCTCTGCATCTGTTAAACGTTTTATGGGAAGATGTATGAAAATTCAACTTGCTATAATTTCATATGCTTAACAGTATCACAACAGTATGTTTACAGTATCTCCCCATAACCTTTCATATGAAAAAATGTATTATATGCATCCCACTCGATATCATTGAATTCCTCTTTGAACATGTAGTTCCTCTATTTTAGCGTATCAACAGTTCATATGGCTTCATACCAAGTAAATGCACCATTAACCTTGTTTATTAAAATTTATATGTTTGTCGGTCATTGTAAAAGTGATAATGCTGTCCATTTGTAGGTACATATATACAGTGCCGGAAAAATAAATTCAACATTGAAATATGGGTCCAGATCGGTTTCCTCGAAGAAGAAAGTGTATAGATTTGGAGTCTGTGCATAAAAAAGTCATCTATGGATCTCCAAAAAATTCGCTCTACTCGTTGGAATTATTTTGGAAGAAGAATTAGCAAAACTGCTGCAACCATATTTCGCCGACCAAGTTTTGAGCGCGATTATGAAGTATGTTGTCACTGTTACAGAAGATTGGCTGCAAGATTTATAGTATCATCAGAAAAAGAAATAGAAATAGAAAGTGACTCTAATTCTTACAGCACTGTCATGTCTCAATCTAATACTGACAGCTTTCACTATTATGTCTGCGACGCAGATGTCTTTAATTCAGAAATGCCCGATTTGCAATTGACAGAGTCTCCATTAAGGAAGAAAGGATATATCAATACTATTTTCTCGTATGCATCTGGGAAACGACAACAATTTACTATCAGCTTTGATTCTCAAGTATCTGAGAAAATTCAAAAGATTTATGACCTACCACAAGATCAAAAGTTTCCTGCTCCTTTTACAAAACCTGGTGG